GGGATGGGGGACAGGGGACGGGGGGACAGGAGATGGGCAGATGGGGGGATGGGGGAGGGGGCGGGGGAGGGGGCACAGGGGACTGGGGGGGATGGGGGATGGGGGCAGGGGATGGGGGACAGGGGAGGGGGGACGGGGGATGGGTGGATGGGGGACGGGAATGGGGGATGCGCAGGTGGGGGGACGGGTGACGGAGGGATGGGGGATGGGGGGACAGGGGATGGGAGGATGGGGGACACGGGACAGAGGGATGGGGGACGGGAGATGGGCGGATGGGGGGACGGGGGGATGGGGGATGGGTGACAGAGGGACAGGGGATGGGGGGACGGGGGGACGGGGGATGGGGGACAGGGGATGGAAGAAGGTGGACAGGCAGATGACAGGGGTTGATACATGACGGATGACAGGTGGATAGATACTGGACGGTAGATGATAGGTGGCTGACAGGTAGACAGAGGGACACAGGTGACAGATAACACGACGAGTTGAATTGCGTCCCCTCCAAAATTCACTTGCTGAATTTCTAAGCCCCGGTACGTCACGGTGTGACCTTATTTGGAGGCAGGGTCTTCCCAGAGGTAATCAAGGGAAGTTGAGGCTGTGAGGGTGTGCCCTGGTCCCGTGTGACCGACGTCCTCAGAGTTATAGAGACGCGTGTAGGGGAGGTGTGGAGCAGATTGTCCCTCACGGCCTCAGGAGGAATGCCTTCTACCGGCGCACCTTGATTTCGGGTTCCTGGCCTCCAGAAACGTAAGGCAGCAAATGTCTACTCCTCGGGCCGCCCGGCGCGTGGGGCGTTGTACACGGCCGTGGCCAACCGACGCAGAGAGACGACGGGTGGATGGACGGACCGTGACGGGCAGAGGGCAGACCGACAGACAGACGGGTGTTTTTTCCTATCTAGCGCATAAACACCGACAGCACGGCCCTCGGACAGCAGGCCTCGCGGCAGGGACACGCGCTCCCGAATCCCGTCATCGCAGGTGGAAAGGAGGACCAGAGTTAAGATGGTACGTCCAGGGGCGGAGACGGGGAGCAAAGCGGGAGCGAACGCACACGGCTTGGGCCGTGCCACGGCGGGGTGTGGGGGCGTCCCGCCGTTACCTTTCAGCAGGGGGCAGATCTTCCAGACGCCAGCGGCCCCTTCCCTGGTGAACTGCCCCAGGGCCAGCTCCATGTAGAAGAGCGGCACCCCAGCAATGGCCATGAAGAGCAGGTAGGGGACCAGGAAGGCGCCTGCGGGACAGGACAGCGCGTCAGCCCGCGGGCTGCGGACGGGCCCGTGTGCTCCCCGGGGCGCGGCCGTCCCAGCGCCACCCACACCAGGTCGCGGGCACCACCGCGCTCACCCATCTCCCGCCGGTTTCCCCCTGAAGCTCCCTGCGTGGCCGCCCTCCGAGGGGAAGTCCCTGGCTGGGCTGGGTGAGCCCCCTACCTCCCTGCCCGGCCCCCACTGTCATCAGCGCCCTCACACGTCCCCACTGAAACCCCGGCCGTCCCTTGGGCCAAGTTTGAAATCGACCCAAGAGCAGAGCAGATGAAGCCCCTGCCCACACACCGTCTTTGCTCCTGGGTCCGGCCTCCCCCCTGCCCTGCGGACGCCGGCCTCCGCCCCTCGTGAGCTCCAACTGCCCGCCGGGAGCTGAGGTCCGGTCCTGCCCTTCGTGGGGTCCGTCACCCACCCCCAGCTCTCCGTCCTCACAGCCTGCCTCGGCGGGGGATTATGTTGACAGGTGCCACGTGAGGAGCTGGCGTCCCTCCAGGGTGGCCTGACCCTCTCGTGGCAGCCCCCCGTCCTAGGCACAAAACTCGGGGCCTCATGGGCCCTGGCCCACACGAGGGGGCTGTGCCACGGCTCTGGTCCTGGGGTGGGGAGGGGGAGGCCGGGAGGCCCCGCGGCTCCTTGCACCTGCCTGGGCCCCGTGTTCTCCCCTCAGCACGGGGTGGGGGCTGGGAGGGCCTCCCACGGAGGTTCTTCCAAAGCCCTCGTGTGCGGCACTGAGTGACCACGGGGAGCGGCCACCAACTCAAGGGGCTTCTCCGCCTGAGGGCTTTGGGTGACCCGTGCCTGTTTTCGTTTTCTAGTCCAGAGGCAGCTGTGGGGGAAGGGCTGGCTGGCTTCGGGGCAGGGGGAGGGACATGCGATCGCCTCGGGACTTTCTCCGCTACTCCAAACTCAAGGGCCTCCGCACCTTTGCGCAGACACTGGTCTAAGTCGGCCAAGGGTACTGCTCTGTGGGCACCTGAGAATGTTCCCCGCAAGGTGACTCCTCGCCTGCTCCAGCCACCGGCCCCGCCTCTGCCTCCGTGTTTGCGGGCTCCCCCCGCCCCCAGGGACTCTGCGCCCCAGCTGCTCAGCGAGGCAGGGGGGGCTGGGCCGGACTCACCGCCGCCGTTTTTGTAGCACAGGTAGGGGAACCGCCAGACGTTGGCCAGGTCCACGGCAAAGCCGACCACCGACAGGAGGAAGTCGACCTTCTTGCTCCAGGTCTCTCGTTCTTGGGTCTCCACGGGGGTCTGCGTGGGGTTGATGAGGGTGGAGCTTGTGAACTGCACCCCATTCTGCTCCTTGACCAGGACAAGTTCCACGGCCTTGGGGCCCGTAGCGTTGGGCTCCTTAGCTGGGGCCACGCCGGAAGACATCGGCACCTCCGGGCGCTGGCTCTCACTGGTGCGCAGCCTGGGGACTCGGACTCGGTGCGTCCTCCTCCGGCCTTCAGCCAGCATAGGAAGTAAGCACACACAGGAAGGCAGCGGCTCAGGAGCCCGGACCGCGGGGCACCTCGCCGCAAGAGCAGACTCGGGTAGAACAAGCACATGACAAGCACCTGAGACGCCACGGCCAAGGTTGAGGACACTAGGAGAGGGAAAGTTCCTGTGGGGGGGCGGGACAGCCCGTGGAAACCTTGGGACAGACACCTGCCACCTGCCTTGCTCCCCCAACTGGCACCCTCTCTGTTCCTACACCTGCCACCTGCCTTGCTCCCCCCACCCCCACCGGCACCCTCTCTGTTCCTATCAAAGTTCAACACTGTGTCATCTCTAAGTCTGCTTTTTAAAAAAGGTTTATACATTTATTAATTTTTTTTGAGAGAGAGAGAGACAGAGCGTGAGAGGGGGAGGGAGAGAGAGGGAGACACAGAATCTGAAACACACTCCAGGCTCCGAGCTGTCAGCACAGAGCCCGACGCGAGGCTTGAACCCACGAACCGTGAGATCACGACCTGAGCTGAAGTCAGATGCTCAACCGACTGAGCATCACCCAGGCGCCCCTGATTGTACTTATAATAATAATGCAAAACGTCACCTCTGCCCACATCTTCAGGGACTCATTTTACAATATTCACGTAGCACTCAAAAGTTAAGTCTTCGTAGCAGGTGCATATGTGTTCTTGACACACAGCAGTAAAGGTGAAGAACAAATTTTTATACCCAGGGTCGCCCACGGGGATTCCGCTCCTCGTGGAATGCCCCCATGATGCCCTCCACCTGTGGCCGGGGACTCAGGCGCCCCCGCTGCAGGCGGGCAGACCACAGCACTGTCGTCACTTAGCTGGGGGCAGACGGGATCCCCTGGCCAGAAACTTTCCCAAGGAACTGCTTCCAAGATACTTTCCTAAAACTCCGCGCATCATAATTAGAACAGGAGGATTACACACAGACATAGCAGGTGGCCCCGACGGCTGCGACGGTGCCTTCAAACAGGACCCCTGGCTTTGGGGTCCATCAGGATTGTTTCCATTGCACATACATGCGTGTACACACACGCACACGCACATACACACACAGGTACACACATATATACACACACATACACGCATACATGCACACATACACGTGCACACACATATACACACACATATACACGCACATGCACATACATATGCACACACAGATACACACATATATACGTGCACACATACACGCGCACACATGCACACACGCACGCGTGCACACACATGCCCACACGTCCATGCACACGCACATGCACACGCACACTTGCGCACACACATGCCCCGGTTGAAGCAGAATAACCGACATTGGCTCTAATGGGCGTCAGTTTCCTCTGCGTTCAAACTGGAACAAGACTCACGATACAAGTTACTTCCCCACCACTTGTGCGCGGCCCCTTCTCCTCCAGTGACAAACCCAGCCTTCCGGAGATGTCGGAAACCCGGGCCTGGCTTTGCAGGGACTGAGGACCAGTGGGACTGGCCTGTGGGTGCAGCAGGGAGGGCTGGAGTGTGCCCACGGCCCACAGCAAGCCCCCCCCCCACTACAGGCACACCCCGGATTGCCTGCTAGAAGCCCGCGCTAGTATCTGGGGCCAGCAGACCCAAATCTTGAAGCCACGGCCTCAGGGGCCAGGTTTGGGTACAGAAAGCAAGGCGTGGCCTCTCAGAAAGCTTCGCTCTGTGCCCAGAACGAGGCACTGCGCTGGCTGATGAACCCGTTCGCTCTTGTACTCCCTACCCTCAGCCTGGGCCC